TGCATTTAGCCTTAAGTACTAACCACTAATAAATAAACACAGAAACACAAACAGGAGACATGTGTCATTAAGCATTGACAAGAACACAAGACACACATGGAGTTGAACATACTAGAAAATCAAAACAAAAACTGACTGAGGAGATGAGACATCTTTGGTATACCTCACATAAAATTTGTTAATTTTCTCATATTGATAAACCTACCTTGCTACATATTCATTGCAAACATCCAGAAAAATGAAGAAGCATTCATTGTTTGGAGTGTATGCTTTATGAGAACGCAACATTGTTCCAACCTCTTTAAGAGTAACAAGATCTATTACATGAATGTCTATTTCTTGAGCAATTGGAGGTGGATCAAGAGGATTTTTCACCACATAACCTCTTGGCCATGGACGTGTGTTAACATACAGGTACCTAAAAAAAAAAAAATAAAACAGTCACACTAATTCTTAGGATTATTACTATTATTAATACTATTGCTCTACTATATATTAAAAATACTATTGCTCTGATTCACTTACATTACACATTGGAAAAATAAAAAGCATCTTTAAAAATGATTAAATTACATTGCACTCTCTCATTTATATTGTGAACATTTTGTAACTTAATAATATTTTATCTATTGGTCTTCTGCCTGTCTGTCCATTTGCCTGTCAGTCCGAAGGAATAAATTACTTCCTCTATCACTTTGTGACGTCAAAATCCATCATGTCTCATCAGTCATGTTTAATGATCTGTCCAACAGTCTTGTTACCAAAAAATCGAATGACAGCAAAACATTTGCCTGAATATCTGCCGTTCATCTGTGGTCAACGTTTGCACCTAAAATGTTCACATGTTTTTCTTCAAAATTGATATTCCCCAATCAATTTAACCGCCTGCAAGTTTGATATACATAGACCATACATGAAGCCTCATTTTCAAAAATTCTCTTAAAAATGTCTCAAAATTTGTGTATTAAACTTTGGCCTTATATAGCATTATGAACGCTTTCAAAAATGACATAGGTCTCATTTTCATAGAAATCCCTGATTTTTTTACTGGTAATGTCTTTTACATGTGCTGGTTGAAATTGCAGGATTATAATTTTACGTAACAATTAGTAGTAACACTGTTTGCGTGCCATCCTTGGTGATCTTAAGAGGATATTCATAGCAGTTGTTTGCCAGCCTCTTCTTCAAAATGTCTCTTCGTGATGGAATTCATGTTACGTAGCAACGAGTGTAACTTTTTAGTTGATGATGTACAATTGTTTTTCAATGGTCAAATAAGTAAAAATGTGTTGTGTTCCTATTGCTAGAACTTACAATGTATTAAAGCTCATGTACAATAAACTAATGAAATATTGAAAGACTTTTTATCTCTAACACTTCTAATTCGCCGTCACCTCCTTTACAAGTTTTCTCCATCCTATTCTTCTCTTGTGCCATATTCATTGTTTCATTCAATGTCAGGTTGGTTGCTTTATAAATTTCCTCATGACATCTAATTTTCAGTCTTCTCCGTTATCAGGTTCCGTCAGTTATTCCCAGCACATTTCTTTCTCCAAGGAGACTGATCTTTTAGAAATATGACCAAAGCATGAGAGTTTTTGTTTGAGGGCACTGGCTTCTAACGAGCATACAGGCTTCACTTCTTCTAGTATGGACTTATTTGATCTTTTATCTGTACAATGGATTTTCAGAAGTTTCCTCCAGCACCACATTTCAAAGGTATCTATTTTTCTTCTATCAATGGATCTTAATGTCCAACCTTCACATCCACAAAGTACAACAGGAAATATAAGTTTGTATTAGCTTGACGATAGTCTTCACTGATAACCCTGAGCCTTTGATAGATTTGTTACAATTTAACATGGCTTCCATTCCCAAAATAATTATATTTTTTATCTCTTGAGTGCAGCATCCATCTTTTGATCGTTACTCCCAAAAACTTCATTTTATTTGCTGATTTTAACTGTTACCCATTCATCTGCATCCTCTCTTCATGTCATGTTACCATTACGAGTCTTTTTTAAGTTCAGCTTGTGCCCTAATTTCTGGCTTCTTCGATCATTTTGTAATAACTCTAGATCTTTCTTACTTTCTGCCATTATTGTAGTATCATCGGCATAACAAATATAATTTATTCGGCATCCTCCAATTCTTACACCTACATTCATTTCATACAGTTTCGCTTTCCTCACAATATTTTCTGTGTATAAGTTAAATAGACCTGAAGAGAGGACACATCCTTGTCTGACTCCCTTATTAACTTTAAATCATTCAGTATTTCCTTATGTTGTTTGAAATTTTGGTTCCTGATCTGTATAGAGTAGTATTAATAGAGTTTCTATATGTCCTGGTATGCCCATGTTTGTGAAGGTAATCCACAACTGATTATGGTCCACAGCCAAAAGCTTAAGAATAGCCCAATAAACATTAATGTAGGTTCCTTAGGATACATTACATACTCTATGACATGCCACATAAGTACTATGTGAAAAAGTAAAATACAATATCATAACAAAAATATAGCTAAAAATACAAGAACACACTAACAATATAATTTTTAATTGAATTAAAATTGACTTCAGTGTGTTCCACCTTCATAACCTACTTACAGATATTTTCTGCATCAGAGAGAGAAATAAATCTATCCAAATTGCATTTGGAACATTCATGTTAATTTAGAAAAAACTGCATGTACCATCCATATTATTTTGAGATGACCCCCTTCTCTGTATCTCTTCCATCCTTGCAAGTTAGCTAATTTAAGCAATTATTTTCAGTAATTAAATTGATAAAAAATTGAAAGTTGAATCTTGCTAGGCAAGCAACTTTCAATTTGTTTCAATTTTCAACCTTTATCTGTTTCAATAATCACAAAAAATAGCTGACAAGAGAAAAAAGGGAAGACTATTATCTTCATCCAAAATAATAGTAATATCAAATCAAAGAAACCCTGCACTTTAGAAATAATACTACATTATCAAATTCATTACATTAAAAGAAAAACCTACTAATGAAACTAAAATAGATTGTGACATTATCAAAAGCATGAGCTTACCTGTGATCAGGAGACAGACCCATTCCAATGATATGACCATGTAAATCAATTAAATGATCAACCTTGTCAAATCTGTCAGCAACTTCTTCATAAACCAACCAATTAGGTTCAGGTCTAGGCACATCTGGATTTTGCTTCTCTCTTTCTTTCTCTCGAGCTCTTTCAGCAAGTCGTTCTCGCAGTGAAGGGCCAGGATCCATTTTCCGAGGGAATGTAACAGATTTAATTCTTTTGAATCCAATTTGATGGGGGGTATAAGTCTTTGAGCCTCTGGTAAATATCAGATATTTTTCTGGCTGCCCAGATAGATCATCAGGCTCACTCAAACTATCGCCTGTATCCATAGATACTTCTGACGCTTCAGAATCATGATCTTCCAGCCCATTACTTCCAGTTTCTAAAAAGATTGCAAATGAAAATTAAACACAAGAATAGAACTATCAAATTTACCCAGAAAATTTTGAAACTGCTCCTAACTAGTTCATGCAAGATTTACTCTGTACTCTAAGCAAAGGCCTGGAGAAGTATGTCTTAGTTCATCATAATTGTTAATAGCCACAGAGTTAAATTTAATTTTCTTATTAAAATCTTATTAAAATTTATTTCCTTATTATAATTACGAATTATTTATTTATTAGTTTTTAATTATTTTATCAATATTTAACTTTTTTATTTTATTTTTTAAATTAAAATATTAAAAAAGATTGAATTATTACTTCACTTTACCACTCTTAATGCACAACACAACAGCAACAAAAATACTTTTTTGAAACTTACCACTACTGGCATATGTCTCGTCTTCACTGTCTTCATGAGAATCCCTTTCTCCTCTACACCGAGTTTCTACCTGCCTATATTCTGCATTATATTGAATAGGACATGCATATTCCATTCCATCTCCCAAACGTCGCCAATTAATAAAGGCTCCTTCCAGGGAATTGGCTCTACAAGACACAAATGAAACAGTATCATGACCAAAATCAAGAAAGGAAGTAAAATTGATTTAGAAGGAGTTCACCAGAAACTATAGACTGGACACCTAGTCTTTTTTTACAGAACAATGACTTTTTACTCGTCTCATTAAATTTGATTTTCTCCAAAATTTTCAAGTACAATGAACAATCAAACTATGAGTACAGGCAATACTATGTACAGCATATAATTAAAAATGTTACTACCTCAATTGTTTGATTTATCCACTCTCCCCATCAGAGAAATTTATGAACAAATTTAGCAAGTTGTTCTATTTAAGACGTCTTTATATGTTCATTTAGAATAACCAGACACCTTTATTTATTCATTTCAAGTAACCAAATAATTTCATAATCCAGAGTTAGGTTTGCATTTTCAAAAATCTACTGTACTATTCGTTCAAACACTGATGCATTTGTGCATTCGTGCATACATGCATGCATGCATTCATGCACGTTATCAAAAACGATTTTATGCCATTTTTACTTTGTATTTTTATTATTATTTTACATCAAAAAACATTTAAAACAGTGAGTGACATACTAAGAGGAAAAAGTGTAAACTGTGCAAATTTTCCGAGCTTTTGTGTTATTCTTGTATTCGTTCACCTATGACACTAGAAGGGAGGAGGTAATGATTCTAGAAATCAAGAGAATATGAGCAAATAATGATGTGAAGTACATCATAAATTGGACAAAATTATTGCAGGACTTCGATTAAGAGTAGATTTCAAGAACAAAAGTCAATGGTAAAACAGCCAACACATGTGTAAAGTACAAGCATCTTGGATATTATAAAATTTGTACCACTGGCTGCAAGGTAAATAGATGAATAAATAACTTATTCCTCAAGGAAAATACCATTTAAAAGTCTTTCATATAATAGTGTAATGGCTTCAGTAATTTAATATTACAAATATTCATATACATACTGCAATCTCGATGACACTTGTTGTAAAGTCTCCGGAGGTAACAATGGATCTGAATTTTTGGATGCTGAAGGTTTATTTAAATCTCTATGAGAAGGAGGGTTCCCTCTCTCACTTCCAGAGCAAGCTGTGTCTGTCTTGGAAACCAGATCTTCTGATGATGAGCTATCAAATGGTGAAGGAGCAAGACAATTTGCAATCATAATTGCTCGAATTGAACTTGCATTACAATTATAGAAACGGTACAGCTGGTTCATGATTGGAACATGTTCTGAAGTAGCTTCTTGGGAAGCTTTATTGAGCCAAAGAATAGACGTACTAACAAGATGAGCCAACCAATGCAAATCTCCAGAGAGTAAATGTTGATCACTAAACCACGTTCCAAAAATATCATAAGGTTTATTCATTACTCGACACTGTAGATCAAAACTACCTGAAAATCAATGAACATTAGACAAGCTAAGAAATAATTTCAAATTGCAATTTGTAAATCATGTGTAACATACCCTGTAAACTGAAAACAGCTATTTCTCCAGATGTACTGTGAGGTGTACCAAAATGAACACCTGATACCAAAAGTAAAGTATCTGATTGGTTAAATTGTGAAAATTGAGTATATTTCCAGGAAAATACTTTCATGTCATGGTGATATTTAATTGAGGCAGGATAATTTGATTCCCAAACCTAAAATTAAATGGAAGGTTTAATTAAAATATTAATAGTAACTGTTTTATCTTGGGAAAAGAAACTATTTCTTATAATAGATTTAAAATTTAATATAATACTGGCAACTCACCAATACATATCCATCTTTGGAACAAGTGGCAAACATACTACCATTGTGTGCAAAACTCACATGAAGCACTTGATGTGAATGATCTTTTAAATTTTCTGTCTGAACTATTGGAATATGGTATGTCAAGCGCTTATATTCATGAAGCCAAGAAGTTTTGTCTGCACAATAAAATGTAATATCAAATAAATAAGTCTCTTTGTATAGATTATTACTATTTATTATTTCTTTAAATTCTAAGAATAAATAATTACTAAACAAAGGGAAATTGATTTGCAGTTTTATCTGGATGACAAAGGAAAGAAAAGTAAACTTTGACATCAATAAAATTAGAGAATTTATGAATAATTCAAACACACACCTGGTGCAATTCCAACACTGGGATCTATTTTGAAATTCGAATACAGAAGATCTTTCCACAAAAATTCATCGAGACTAACTCTTCTCCACGCTTTACAAGTCAAACCAACATCTAAAAGTTCTCGAGAGGATAGGTATTGGAAAATATGTAAAAGGATCGAATCGGGGACGTAATTCCAAACGCTGTCATCATCATTATTTGAACATTCGCTGGAGTTATCTTCATTAGCCATCACAACTGATGTATTGATCCCCTGCAGCAGGAAGCGTTATTATGTATGATCGAACTAACTTCATAAGCAGGCAAAGTTAAAGAAAATATTTCATTACATAGATCACGTTGCATGTAACTCGACCACTTTCAACGACACCAGGAAATATTACGATTTACCTGCTGTGTTGACGGAGAGTATTGAATTTCTCAATATGGTCCACACACAGCTGTCCCGATGTACCAGCTGATTGGTGTATAGAAACATTTCAATGCATTGTGGGTGAATAAAAACACTTGTCGCTTCCCAGATTTTGTATCGTCTCCAATTGTCTCCGTGAGTTACTAATGAAAGTCATTTATTTTGATGTCATGATATTCAATATTGCTCTTTATACAAAAAACAAACATGGAATTAGCAAGCTCATGACATTTTTATTTCAATGAAACTTCAAAAAATCGAATGTCAGATGACAAACACTTCATGAAATTGAATGCTTACCCACAATTTCAATTATATTAAATTAAATGTTTACATTTTGTCTTGAATTTCTATGTAACGCTCAAGAAAATTAAAATTGTTTCCGGTTTATTTGTTATTTCGCCTAATGATCCTATAAAAGTATAATGTATACTTCATTTTGTCACTATCGGCAGCCGATTTTATGGTGTACAAATATTAAATTACGGATACGTTATCGTATTGTGTCTATCTTCGTTGGACTTTATTTCTCCACACATTCAGTTGAGATATTTGCGAGGAACCGAACGCTTGGCGAAAGGGGAAATTTTCGTGCTCTACGTCTACTTAGTCGACGGACCTGAATCGACGATTCTAAACTTGTTGCAATAGGTAAGACTTAACTGAAAATACCCAAACGAAGTGTTGACATCCATTGGGTTAATACGAAAGTAGCCTCTTTGGAAATCAATTGAACTCGATTGTTGTAGGGAGACGATTGTAAAGGTGTACGACTTATGCTAACTTTGATACTCGCTACGGAAAAAACGATGAACTCAAAATTAATGTGTGTTATTGAAAAAAATGAAAATTGGAAAGAAAATATTTTAACTTACACTAAGTTCCTTACCTCCTTTTATGTAACATTTTATTTCTGTATTAGCTATTATTGTAGTAGCCTGATGTTTTTGATTTCTATGCCTTGAAAATCCAATATGTGTGTATCATATTTCATTTATTTAAATTTATTGAAAATTTATTTTTAACACAGAAGGAATTTGGTGCAAGCAATGGGGGTATCCCGTCAAATATTACTTTTATCTTCCTCTACTGTTCATGGAACTGAATATCTGAAATATGCAGAAAATGAAATCAAATCCTTCTTGAAAAAGTATGTTGACATTTATATTTTTATTTAAACATAAGATTTGTCTCGGTCTACAGATACCTACTTTTATTAAGAGTTTTTCTTAATTTTTCAGTAAAAATGTCCAAAGGATTCTTTTTATTCCATATGCTCTTCAAAATCATGATGAGTACACTGATAAAATACGAAGTGCCTTTGTTAAATTAGGTAGATATCATTCCTTTTCCTATTTATTAATTTTTTTTTCTTACAACTTTTTTCCAACTCTAATTTTTCTATAATATTTAAATAGGTTATGAAGTTGATGGCATTCATAAAACATCAGATCCTATTTTGGCATTAAATCAAGCTCAGGCTGTATATGTTGGAGGGGGAAATACATTCCAACTATTAAAATCTTTGTATGACAATTGTCTCTTGGAACCCATAAGAAAAAAAGTTTTGCAGGTAATGGACATCAGACTTCTTTATTTTGGTGATCATGTCTTTCTGAATTTATTGTTAAATTTACATTAAAAACTGCATTTTAGAAATTTAATTAAGTGGATACTCATCTTTTCTTGAGCTGTCTTTTAATTTCTGTGTATCAAAATAAAAATTGAAAATGAGGCCTTTGTTTCTTTGATTCTATACAGTGTATAAAAAATTATTTTGATATTTCAGGAAGGACTGCCTTATATTGGAAGTAGTGCAGGAAGTAATGTGGCAACAGTTAGTATTTGCACCACAAATGATATGCCAATTGTGTATCCCCCTAGTTTCAAAGCCCTTGGATTGGTGCCTTTCAACATTAATCCTCATTTCTTAGATGCAGATCCAACCTCCAAACATATGGGAGTATGTGTATCACATATAATCTGAAGTATGTTGCCCTTGTAGAATTCTTGCATTTTTTTTCTCTCTCTCTATGAATAGGAAACTAGAGAAGAAAGGATTAAACAATATCATGAGTTACCTGATGTTCCTCCAGTTCTGGGATTGAGAGAAGGCTGCATGTTACATGTAGATGGGGATAAAGCTACTCTGAAAGGAATATCTGGAGCGAAGCTTTTTGATCCGTAAGTTTGTAACTAAAAGGATTATTTCTCTCTGAATAATATACAAAAAGGAAAATATATTTCCTCGTCTTCACAAAGAACATCAATTCAAAACAGAACATAGCTACTAATAATTTCTATCATGCTAGATTGTCGAAAGTGCAGTACCTGTACTGTAATATATATTTCTGTGAAGTTTATTTCTTAAAAATAAATAGGCTAAAGTGAGTGAAGAGTTTCTAAGTTAAGTTAGAATGTAGTTGTTTATGAAGATAATATGATTAAGATTTACTTTTTCTATTCTCCTTGTAGATCTAAAGGTGCTTCAGATTATGAAGTTGGATCGGATGTGAGTTTTCTACTAAACACCCAGTAAGAGAAGACTGATATCTTTGATTTTGTTTATTTGTGGCTGTATCTGATAATACCATGAAAAATAACAAAAATTGCTTGAATTGATGATTTTGGGGTTTTTATTTTGTTCCTGATGTTTTCTCTTTTAGAAAAGTAAAGTGGTTTATTTTAGTAGTTTCAGCTGAGATTGTGTGGTAATTCATAAGGAAGAGGAGTGAAATCTGAATAAAAAAAATGTTTAATTTAATAAACCATATAGAACGTTGAACAAAAAGGCCAAACCAGTTTTAGGGGAAGGAGAAAATGATAAGAGTACAGATAAATAGTCATCTCATCAACAATTAAGTGTTGATTGTGTCATTATATGTACTCTTTGTTTTTGCTCTTCCTTCATGCTTGACCACGTAATCTGAGAATGTTCCTGTACACTGCAGATAGGAATAATTTCCTGAAACTAGTTTGGGATTTTTGTTTCAATGTTTTATATTAATTTTTTATTATAATATCTTCTGATAACCTTACATTCATCTTCATTTTAAAGTATTTATTTTTACTGAAGCTAATAGTTGAAGTTTCTTTTTCTCATTTGAGAGAGTGAGAGGATAGAAGGAATGGGTGGATAAGCTAATGTTTTGACTCATTTCAAGTAGTCTTGAGGGAAGGGGATAAAATTGAACACAAACTGCTGAAAAAAAGTGAACTTATATATAAAAGAGCAGTTAACTCAGACACCATGTGACTAATTTCTTTGAAAGTTGGAACATTACTTTTTTTTTTTTACCACCCAGAAGATTTATATGCTGATAATTTTTTTTATCTCCACTAGATGGCGCAGTAGAACAAAACAAAATATTCGTGTCAAATGCAATCCGCATTACTGCAGTATTTTTGAATCTATAACTCCTAAACGAAGTGTCCTTGGGCATCAAAAATTAAAACATTGGGTCCAATGGTCTAAAATAAAAGTTTCTCACTCCTTATTCTAGAGGGATGAGGTCTTCTTGAATTGAATTGAATTTTGCCTTATTTTACGTGGCGAGACTCGGGCCATCAGGCCCGCTCTTAAACATTCTATTACATTTTTGTTGGTCGCGTTTCTCGATATTACTCCACCTGCTCCGAGACAGTCAGACGGACAGAGAAAGGGAGAGAGAAGTTGATGGAGGGCAGGACGTCTGCCGAGTTCCGCTAGTTAATTTAAATATATCTGGAATACTGTAGAAATGTTGATAAACGCTTTTAGAGCAATCGTATCACTTTAAATCAATTAGGTAGTGCTAGAAATTACTCAGGCTTTCTCATATGACTTCTTTTGAGTCAGGGCTGCCGTTTTACTTTCTCGCTACCGCTTACACAGTAGAGAGAAAGTTATCTAATGCTGCGAGAAAAGCGGAGGATCTTCAGCAGAAAAACTTATTGCCGGGCTATAGTAACGGAAAAGTGGATAAATCCATTTGATAAATGTATTTTTAAGAAGCCTCTAACACGTGGTGTAGCCCGAAACGATGTTTTGTGGGTCCTTGATACTGAAAAATCAATTGACGGCAAAATGCCTGTTGGTATGTGAACAACTCCAACGGCTAAAAATTGTTCTCTCAATTTTTTTCCAAAATTGATACTCCTCAATCGAACTGGCTAATATCGCGGCCCCTTGGATTTGAAATGGATTTGAAACCGATATTGTAATTTTGGGGAATACATTACATTAAGTCCCCGAGACAAAAAAAAAAAAAAAAGACTCCAAAGTTTTTGATCAAATTCCGTTGTTGGATAGTGTGAATGACATTTAAGAGTTGTGTATTGCTCATTCTCCTTCAAATACCTGACTTTTGAAAAATTGCAAAAGTTCAAAATTTTACGGAGTCTTTCTACAACTAAAATATTAAAGATATTTTCCCTTAATACAATCTGTTCCTTATAGATAGAATTTGAAATATAGTCGTGTACCATTTTTCGAAAATTTGAATACTTTTCTCGAAATTTTGCGTTAAATATAGGCAATTTTTTATTTTCTTTAAACAATTTTTTTCTCAAAAAGACACCAAATTTGTTTAAAATTTGACTCGGAAAGCGTATTGGACGCTTAAGAAAATGGTGTAGGTCTCATGTTCATTGAATATGCTGTTTTTTGAACATTGCAAACATTTGAAAGTTTGTTCTGCGTCTTCCTACATCTACAATTAAGAAGATTTAAAATGGTTTCGGCATCTTTCTACTACTAAATTTGTGAAGATACAATTTTTTAATGAAATGTGTTTATCGAAAACATGTCTTTAATAAGGTCATGCTGAATGTTTCGAATTTAGTATTTTTTGTGTTGAGATAATTCAGATAATTGTAAACAAGTGTGAAAATTCAAAACTACTATTTCAGAAAGAATACGTAAATATCTCAAATTCCAGATTATAAATGTTTCTCGAACGCGGCACCCACGTGTGACAACGCGCTATGAGCGCAAGGCGTGCTCCGAGATCGGGCTGAAGTCAGCGTAACACATCCGTTGCCGGCGACAGGTTGACCCACCCTTCACGTCTGGCGTCTGCACGTCGTCCTCGCGCCGCAACGACTGATAAGCGGATTTAGATTTATTTAGTCAAAACAGTAAAAAACTGTATGTGACATATGAGGGAGATGTTTATCTGTGCACGTTTTCGTGAGTTCCATAATCCCTTCCCGTCATTTTAACTATAATTACTTAAAAGATAAGTTTAAAAGTAAACAAAAGTTTAAAAAGAAATAAATTGTTAAAAAATTTTAAAATCGCGAGATTAGCAATAATTGAAAAAAAAAAGACATTTTCGTTTCCGCGTTGTAGAAAACTTAGTTGCACGGTAAATGAATTAATTAAAAGTATGATTTTTCTGCATTGCTAACAAAATAGCAACTCGCCCTTACCTCTTCTCCTACCATTACAAACAAAAAAGTTCAACAAAACATGCGCACAGTGGACATACATTTACGTCCAGAAGCAAAACCAGGGGCCATCTCAGCATTTGGTCAACGGATCTCGGAAACTGGACAAAAATCTGATCGAGTTGGGGGGGGTCATTGACTGGAAGCTAAAGTACATTATTTGTTACAAGCATATTAAGTCTTTTAAAGCAATTATACAATACAAACGTAAACCACTTCATGATATATCACTGGTTTGCTAAATTTGACATTATTTTTATTTTTGATGATCAGTATACTCTCTAACTGTATAAAAACAGTTGTCTAGCAGAAAGGATTTTACTTGTAACTTAAATTTGTGAATGGACTTAAATTGTTTAATGTCATCAATTGTCAATTGTCTAATGCGTTGTAAAGTAACGTACATGTATGTGGATTTCTGATAGTGAGCTGTTGATACTGACACTTGATGAACGTGATTTTTACTACGCGTGTTGTAATTATGAATATCAGTATTGCATGAACATATGTTCCTACATTTAAGTAAGTCACTTTTGACACATATTACAGATTCGTAAATATATAGGCAAGACAGTGGTAAGATTACAAGCTAAATGAAGAGAGGCTTGCAGGGATCACGCGTATGGCATTTTTTTATTATTCAAATAATTTTCTTTTGCAATCTAAAGGTCTGTGTACTACATGATGAGTTTCCCCAGGAATTTTATGCCATATCTCAGGTGGGAATGTACATTTGCAAAATACACGCAATGAGCTGCATGAAGGCTGACAGAATTTAAAAGAATTTTGAATGTGTAACATAATACACTTAATTTAGTGTTCAATTTTGTTATATGAACAATCCATTTGAGGTTTGACTGAATTGAAGCCCTAGAAATTTTGTTACCTGAACATCAGCTAATTGCATATTGTTCATTTTCAATGTAGCATGTGATTGCTGATTTGAAATGCGAAAATGCATTGAAATTTTTTCCTAAGTTAACTATTAATTTGTTATTACAAAACTAATTTGAAACTTCTAAAATATTACTATTTGTTTTTACTTTTCTTTTTTTTTTTGTGCAAAGAACATTCGTGTCATCGGCAAACAATCGATCTTCCGTTTTTATTAGACGAGAAGATATCGTCTCGATGGCTATTGAGGAAGGGACCTGAGATCGAGCCGTGCGGGACCCATATTCAATTGGTAAAGAATCGGAAAGATAAGTAAATAATGTCATTTCGTGCCAGTACGATATTTCTACTCTTTGAGATCGATGTTTAAGGTACGACGTTATCCAATCTAGGGCGATACTACGAATTCCATAAGAAGGTAATTTTGATAGCACGATGTTATGGTCAATAACGTCAAAAGCTTTCGAAAGATCTAATGATATTTCATTTTAGTCCATTGATGAGACAACATCTTTAAGAAAAGAAGAAATGGCAGATTCCGTAGATTTAGATATTCTAAACCCATGTTTTTCCTGAGAAAAGTTTCCATTCGCGTACAGAAAAGCTTCTGTACTAATAATCTAATATAAATTGTAATATTTTTGAGAGAACTGACAAAAGAGAAATTGGTCGGTAATTTGGGAATTAATTTTTATTTCCTATTTTAAAAAGTGGCTAAATTTTTGCTGTTTTGAAAATATCTGGAAAAATTCCTGTGCATAAAAAGCATTGAAAATGTAAGTTAACGGGTGTATAATAGCAGGTACACAAGTTTTCAATAAATAATCCGGAAATGTTTTTAACCCAGATGAATATTTATGACTATTCGTAAGATTTCGTTAGAAGAAGTTTCGAAAATAAACATCGTGTCGAACGTTTTTTAGGAAGGTAATGATGTTGAATTTTGCGCTTTTAGTCCCTTCGTTAATTCAGCCGCAATTCTAGAAAAGTGTTGGTTGAAGATTTTTGCCACTTTTTGCGGATTACTGGCTTCTTAATTATCATTTAAAACAGCATTCTCTACTAGGTAACGAGATAGTGTGGTCGTATTTTTTTACGATATTACGGACAGAGACGGGCAAACAGACATTCAGGCGGACGCAGACGGGCAGAGACAGACACGGAGGAGACGGTGACACACAGACGGGCAGAGACGGACGGACGGACGGACGGACGGACGGACGGACGGACTATCGGACAGACGGACGTTTTGCTATCAATAGATTTTTCTGTATGAAGGACGCACAAAACAAATATTCTGGCTACACCACGCGTTAAATGATTTTTTTCTGTATTTAGCAATGCATGTCTCCACTTTTGTCGTACTCGGCCTGGCAATAAGAGTTTTTGTGTCGAAAATTCGCAGTTTTCCGACGCACGATTACAATATTTTCTCTTCTTACGATAGTAAGTACAAAAATGTAAACAATTGCCATCAACGTGCTCGAAAATATATGGATTATGGTGTAATTTGATTGCTTGCTTGCTTAGTGATTCCGGGTGCGTCAACTGCTAAGGTCATTAGTCACGTAAGTTTAGTGCGTGTTTTTATCGCGGGAGTTGGCGGAGACCTTCCCCCGCTGGATGGAAAGATCTTGCGCCGACCTACTTCCACCTGCGGGGATTTTCTTCAGCCAGTTTTCTCCCACCAGCTGGACACCGCCCCAGCCGAGACCAGCTCTAAGCTTTCAAACGTTATCCCAATAAGTGTGATTGTGTAGTGCTCGTGTGTCTGTGTAAGGGGGGGCGAGGAATGGACGAGGAAGAATAAGGAAAGATGACGCGCGGTCCCTTTCTTAAGGAATTGCTCGGGCATTCCCGTTATGTTTATCGGAGAAACCACGGAAAACTACCGATCAGAACAGCCGGCCGCTAGAAATATCCACCAGTCAGCAGCTGAATTCGACCTAAGTAGAGTGTCGAAAATCCTGCCACCCTTGGGACTATCCCTAAAAGCTCTCGGTCAGAAGCACTGTAGTTACATCAATTTATGCCCTGAGCCACCTTACCCATATACCCTGGTGGGTGTATGAAGAAATATCTAGAGGAGCTGCAACAACTTGGACTATCTCACCTTGAAGTTTAAAGAATCGTGTTGCTTGAATATTGTAGTTAACCAGTTGTAGTGTACTGAATGTTGTTACAATTATGAGTGAGATTAATTGAAATGAAATGAATTGAGAGATCAGATTTTCCGAGTAGCGAGGATAATAATCAAGAAAAGAATAGGTACTCGACAGATGGAGAGGATTTTACCTGAATGATAGTGGTGATTAACAAGATGTACATTTTTTGTTAAAAAATATTTAATTTGTACCAAGTTCAGGAATCATTAGAGTAACATTCAGTTATCTTTGGAAAAATTGATTAAAAAGTCACATATGTTACCACATGCTACCATTTTGAACATTATAAAATATCATCACAAACATTGAAAAAGCATCACAATGAACTTCATATACCCCACAGAATAATATTTCAGTCATTCAAGCATTTCTTGACAAATTATGAAAGAAGAGTGATATATTCTTCAGCCTTTGAAATGATTGTTACAAAAAAATTTGTATTTGTTTAACTCTCTATTCATAATTCTATACATTTAATTTTTTGGACTTGTCAATAGTTTATTACAAAATATGATGTTTCTATTCTTTAAAATAAGTAAAACCTATCTAGATATAAAATTAAAACTACACAATAGGTACCATAATTAACAATAAATTATATACCCTTGAATAAAATTCAAAGAGTTTTCTCTTAAGTACATTTTCATGGTTCCAGAATACAAATTCAAAGAATTAAAAATAATACACCAATTTACACATCATTTGCACATACACATACTCGAGCACATTTATTCTTTGCTTTCAAGAATCTTGTTCAGTCCAAAGTTTGATAGTTCATCAAAACGTCTTAATGATACTCTTTCTTGCTGAGAAATGTGAAACTTCAATTGATGAAAAAAATATCTTACTGTTCCATATCAAAGGAACTTCTTAAGTTGTGAATTACTGCATTTAACTTATGATATTATGAACAACACAAAAATGAACACATTTTAGGGTTTAAAACACAACCAATATCCATGATCCATCTTCTTTTATGCAAATTCCAATAATCAAATTAGCACTATATGTCTAAATAATAAAGAAAACTACACAGGTTTCATGTCTCTTGTTTCCTGATAGTTGCTAGGTAATAAAATCTATTATTCATAAACATGACATTTAAAAATGAGTATCAAAATAGTGTGCCTAAGTGACTTTTGCTGTTGTTGTTGTTGTTGTTGTTGTTATTGAATTGCAAGCTGCTATGAAACCTATTTTAGTGAAGTAGGATCTACGTTCCAAATAAAATTGAACTATTTTTTCTTTTCCTTTTTTAAAGCGATTATCAAAACGCTTGTAAAATTGATACCTACCATTGTTGTTAACTGTAACAAATGAGAAAAAAGTATAAAATAAAATATAATATGTGAATGTTTTTAAGAAAAAAGTAATTAAATCTAGTTTTTCCTACCAGGGAAAATCATGAATTTATGATAGTGCTTACTGATGACTTTAATTCCTTACCAATTACATAATTTATGTCTTACTAATATTATAGATAGAAATTTCGTGAAATTCATTTGAATTTTGTACACAAATAGTTTTAATTAAACACAATGCAAACAAAGAAATATATCTAAATAAAAATTGTTATATTGAACTATTTCTTAATCTTTCATTTAAATTATATAAATACTGTTTTCCTACTTCATGCTTAGATTATAAGAAATAATTCTTAGAGGAATACTTGTATTTACCTTAATGATTGATCCTCAGCAGACAACATCTCAGAACTTTGAGCATTTGTTATGTTTAAATTTAGATATTGTTGAGGAGATGTAGTTTCCAAGAGACTGTCAAGTTTATTACGAAGTTCAGTAAATGTAGGCCGATCCTTTGGTTTTGCTTTCCAACATGATAACATAATACAATACCTACAAACATAACAAAGCTTACATTATTTACAGAAATTTAAGGATCTCTTTTAAATCCATGATTAAATCCTTGCAATAATATTAATTGTGTAGTGGTGCTGCAACAGTAAACACTTTCTCACATTATAATAATTACATCATTCTAAATTATAATTACATCATCATAAGTCACATTCTATCACCACCACATGAACCAGCAAATTTTTTTTCAAGGAGCAAAACATTTTTTTTCTGTGCTGAGATTATTGCTCATGTTCCGTTTTGATTGATAGAGAGATTAATTGATTGATGATTCCCGGCGCCTCAACTGCTACGGTCGTTCGTCTCGTAAGTGTAGGGTATGTTTTATTGCGGGAGGTTGCAGTAATTTTGTCCCGCTGGCTGGCGAGATTCGGCGCCGACTCGGCTTGCGGTACTTTCCTCCCCAACTAGGTGCCAGCAGGGCACCGCCTCAGCCAGCACAAGCTCCAAGCTCCCGACTGATCAGCCGATATA